GGTGGCATTTCAAAAATTCACCACTTGGGAAAAGATTTGGGGTGGAGGTGAGTGTGAAATAGTGAGGAAGTGGGCAGAGAGATGTCAGTGCAACATCCATAATGAAACATTTGGGGAGAGATAAAGGGAGAAAGATAGTTTAGTAAATTACTCTATCTAGAATAGTTTTATATTTTGATACCTCATTTTTATAATTACAGAAGAGTTTTTTGGTCTTAATTCTATATAAGGGTCTGACAGTTCTATATAGTATTCCATCAACATTACATTGGATTTTTAAAAAACTACTACATTAAAAAAGACAGATGAACCATTTTACGAAATGTCCTAGAAATTACTTTAGACATTTAGTAGTAATCATGAGATCTTTTTCATGGTGTAAATTGTGTAAAATAATCAGATGACCAATAAATTCCATTACAGTAGTGGAGCATGGATTTGCCCATAATAACTTGAAAGTCAACTTTTATTGCATGTTATAATTTTCATACATTTTTTTCTGGGAGCCTAATTTGTAGAATATTAAATACCAGGGAAAAGTTTAATGGGAAATGATCTAGCATAATTTATCCACTTATAAGCTTATATAATATTCATATTTCATGCTTAAATATTAGAATGATGACATTAAATATGTTTCACATTCATTCCAATTTTCCCATTTACTTTACTTATAGTGATTTAAGGCTAAAAATGAATGATTTTTTAAACCATGTTTAGTATTCTTAGTACAATTCTTCTATTTAAGTAAGAATAAAAACAATAGAACAAAGGAATATTTTAAGAAATGATCCTGATGGAGTTAGGATGGTTAAAATTTACAGAAGCTAAATGCTTGTGTTTTGCATTTAGATATTATCAGTACTTCTTATGGATTTGAATTTGTGATTTTGCTTAAAATATATCAAATTATATGTGGCTGAGTATGCTATCACATTTCTTTCCATGTCTCCACCTGAACTATTTCTCTCAAAAAGAAGGTGCACTGGTGATAAAATCAGCTATTACAAATTGTATAGTAGAATTAGATTATGCTATTTCATCAATCAGTTATATTATTCTATTTTCCAGGATTAGTAATGTAATCATCTAGAGATTATCAGAGACAAAGAATAGCTTAACATCTGAAACAATGTAATAAGCAATGACTATTACATTGCAATAAATTTTGTTTTGATTTAATTGCCATTTAAATTACTTCCTTTGTATTTGTATTCCTTTTTCTAGATTTCTTTAAGAATGACTTTAAAAAATTTTATAGATTATACAATGGGGTGCTTTATAATGAACATGCAAATGAAGATATAAGAAAAAAACAAAAACAAACTTACATTCATCTGGAATCCAAATGTTAAAACTCAAATAATGGGTGGCATCAAATAAAAATTATTCTCCTATGGCTTCTGATAGCCCTAATGATAACCTCATAACAATCTGATCCTACAATGTCTTGTGAATAATAAAAAAAATATCATATTTTATGTAGTATGCTTCACTCTTAGTATTAGTTATTTAATTCTTTCATATTGGTGACATGTAAATCTCAGTCTAAAAATTTTCAGTCAGCCAGAACAGATTATTCTGCAGTGATATTGGATAAGTTGTTAGTCTAAGGACCATGAAATGTATTATTTAATCAGTCTGACACCTCTGTAATACAGATCTTGATATGCTCTAAATAACAGTGAATGGAAAGTTCTATTTATAAGCTGTGTGGCTTTGAGTAGGTTGTTTAGCTTTTGCTTCTTGGGTTTCTTTTTCAGCACAATGGGAATATTAGTACCTCCTTCTGTACCTCAAGTGGCTATTTAAGAGCCCAAGTGGGATAACCTATGTGAAATGCATTGCAACTCTAAGGTACAGTGGTAATTTTATTAGGGCAAATGAGATAGTTTATTTTATTAGCAGAAAACCTGGAATTCAGAGGCTTACTGTACTAAACTACAAAGCCTTTGCTGGGAATTAATTTAAAATGGAGTTCACGGTTCTTAGTTTAGCATCTTGTACTCAAAACTAAGGCTGACTTCTGTAAATATTGTTAGTGGGTGACTTTTGAATAGGTGTGCATTTCACTTTTATTTTTATTCAATTTATACCTCTGGGAGCTGTTTATCCGTATAGATGCAAAAAAAAAAGATGCTGTGCTCTCATTCACCCATAACTCAATATATTGTTTTTAAAGTCGAAGAATCATAATAAAAATGTTGTACCTTTTGTGTAAGGAAACAAGGTCACCAGTTTTTAACAAAGTCAGGGGAAATGGAAAAGCTGTTGGCTTAGGAAAGCTGGGTTCTTTTTCTGAAGATAAGCCATGGTTATTTGCACTTGACAGTATTTAAAACTGAAAATGAATATTTTACTTTTTTTAAAAAAACAAAAACATTTTCAACGAAAACATCCAGAAGTCATTAATGAAACCCTGAAAACAGTTCTTGTACCTTAATCTCTAATATCTATCTTTAGTGAAAAATTTAAAGGCCTTTAAAAGTGAAAATATCTGTCGGAAATATTGTTAAATATTCGTCTTAGTTTCCCATAGAAAAGAAAAATATAGAAAAGCAGACTCTTCCTAAAATGTCTTTAATTTCGACCCAATTTTTCGTTTTTAAGAGGTTTTCCAAGACTTTGAAAAACAGTATTTTATTCTTTTCTTTCGGAGATTTCCCAGGAATGCTTATTATTAAGCAATGTGACCTCCAGTTTCTGGACATTTATTAATTATCCCTCTTCACCATTCCCCATTTTCCCCCAAACAGAGCGCTGCACCTGCCAAGAGAGAGTCTCCTTATAGGACGCAAGGGGTCGCCCCTCTCCCAGTATTGAACCAGCCAAATCCTCCGCAAAGGCAGGTTTAAATGCGAAAGAGCCAGGCGCATCCTCTGTAAGAACTCCCTCAGCCCCATTCCCACAAAATTATTGAAATTTCGACGCAATTACACCTAGTCTTTCGTTTACCCTCACCATAGAACCAGAGATCGCCTTTGACGTGCCCTTGGGACAACTAAGGTCGAAAAGCAGTTGCCTTTTGACTTAACAATAGTTCAAGCCTAGAGAAGCCTTAGTCCACTGCTCCCCCAGAACCTGACAGCTTCCAGCAGTGCGGACCTCTCTGGGGAGGTGCGGAGAACAGAACAGCAAAGTTTCTTTCCGGTGTCTCACTTCAGAAAGAGGAGTCCCCAAAACTGCAAATGCAGATTCTGACACTTGGGACCCTGCCCCGCCCCTGCAAGTGTGTAAAGTTCCTGGCTCAGGGGTCTTCAGTGGAGTGAAGACGAAAGTAATAGGAGGCAGGTGGACGCGGACCCGAAAAGCGGATGGAAAGCAGCAGCCTGCGCTTTTGCCTGGCCTCCTTTGCCACAGGCCTACAAGTCCCCAGGCCATGCCCAGCTTGGAGGGAAGGCGGGGACCGCCAGCCGCTCCAGTCCCAGGCCCGCTCCTCCTGTTAGGCTGCCTCGCCGACAGAGTGATAGAATGGGTGGGAAGTTACGAGAATACAAACCATTCAGAAGCCAAGAATAATAAATTGGATGCCCTGACTTGTTGAGTTTAAGCTCTCCTGCCCCCTGCTACGCGAGTCTGGAAGCAGAGAGTCCCGGCTGGAGACCCTGGCGTTGGGGTCCAACTACCTTTTTAAAGGCAATTTTCGGGTGAATCAAACCTTGTCTGCTCGAGGCGAGCTCCACAAAAGGAGCTTTCAGGTTACCCTGAGGCTCAGGGGCAGAGACCAACAGCAGCAGAGACGCAATTAGGAATCTCCATCTCAGACAAATTGGTGTTTTGTCTGAGCTGGACCCATTGCCTGTCCTGAGGGGCTTGGCTGGGCTGATGCTAAGAGGGCTCTGCTCGGGTGAGGAGGCGCCACCGCTTATTGTTGGCCGCTGAGGTCGGAGGGTCTAAGGCAAAACATGGCTCTGTGCGCCCCGCAAGCGCCTGGGAAGGCTGTTTCCTTCCCTTTCGCCGCCAGCACCCCGACACAGTGTGATCTGAGACAGAGCTCCCACGCGGACACAGAAGCCAAACGGCAAGCACGCAGGGCTCTCCTATCCTGAAACATCCGTTCCGTCATCTCAGGAAGAAACCACCTTTCAAGGCAACCTGGGTTTGACACTGCCATGGGTGTGCCCGTTTAACCCCAGCTAGAGAACTGTAGAAGTCTTTACAAGCAAACCTTACTAGTAACAGGAGTCAGAAGGATCAGCGAGATTGCGTCTTTAGGGTAAATTCGCCCCTCTGTTGTGTCTGCCTCAGGACAGCCACTCGAAAGAGCCAGAGATGGCAAAAGTGCTCACATGTGACAGACAGGATAGTTAATTGAAAAATTGGCACCTCCCGGCTCCCAGCAGTGCAAAAGCGCAGACCTGCGAACCCTGGGCGCCCTGAAGCTCAAATCTGCGAACTGGGGGAAAGCGGATGCGCAGGCGCTCCCTCGCTCGCCGGCTTTCTCGCTCCTTGGCGGGTTGGTGGGCGCTTCTCCGCCAAGTCCCAGTGTTCTGGCCAACCCGAGGGTCTCCCCACGCGAGAGATAGAGGGGGAGGTGAGCAGTGCCACCCCCGCGCGTCACCCAGTGTTTTCTCAGCCATTAGCCACAGTCGGGCTCTCCGGGCGGTAGAGGGTGAGGTCCCCCGGTTTCAGGCTCAGAAGGAAAGACCAAATCCCTTGACAGAGCATCAAGAAGGTGGGGTCTTTTCCTACAACCTGAAGTTACGTGGGGGAGAGAGCCATATAGCTCCAGGTTCCCCGTTTGTCCGACTCTGACACTCAGGGAGATGCCGGGAAAGAGAGGGACGCTGAGAGGAAGGCGTGAAAGACGCCTTCAATACCTCCCAATTGTTACATCCTCTGGTAGGTGTGGGGTGCTAGGCAGGAAGACTGCTACTTCTGGGGGACCAGACGCAGAACATACAGGCAAAGCGACCCGACAGGTGAACGCGGCGGAGGGAGCAAATGCAAAAAAAAACCCAAAACAAAACCAAAAAGCCCCACAAAAACCTTGCACTTACTTCTTCGCTGGCGCCTTCCCCGGGAGGCGTTTTGGCTGCCGATGTATTCCATAAAGTTCAAAATGATAAAAAACCAAGATATCAGTCGCAAGTGCATAGTAACCCAGTAATGTTTCCTTTCCTTTTCTCCTTATCTTTTGATTGTTAATTGTATTTAATGTTTTAAAATTATATGTAGGTGATAGGCGTATATATATATATATAATATATAGAGAGGGACAATCTCCACTCAGATCCGACAGGCGTGATGTGATGGCAAACGAAGCGGGGCTGGTGGACAGGGAAACCAACTACTGTACTTTCAAATTATCCAAGCACTGAGCAGCGGCGGTTCCAAGAGGGTCGCTGTCATCGCAGCAAGCGAGGGTCCAGGAACAGCTAGCGGCCACGCTGGGGCGGCCGCAGGTAGCATGGTGCGCGACGGGCGGGATCCGGGCAGGCGGCGGCAAAGGCGGCCCCTCAGGCTCAGAGGCTGCGGCGGCTGCGGTGGCAGCAGTGGGGGCCTGGGGAGAGCAGGGTAGCGGGCGCCGTGGGCACCGCGGCCATGGCCAAGGGGCGGCAGAGAGACCCCGAGTTGCTTCTGCTGTTCGCGAGCAGGACCCGCTCCAGTGCTGGGCTGGGCTCCGGAGAGCACCCCATAGAAGAGGGAGGGAGGGGACGGGGGAGGGGGAGAGGAGGAGGGGGGATGGCTGTGGGGGGCGGGGGAGCTCGGGGGCGGGGAAGGAAACTGCTGGAGCAACAACCCTGAGCGACCTCAATAACTTTCAATTTCAAGAGGGAAAGAGAGAGCTGGAAAAGTACAGGCGTTGCGATTTGGCAGAGAGACGGGAAGAGGCGCCTAAGGGGTCCAGGGTCTGCAGCGGAGCATCTCCCGACACTGCAAAGACGGCGGGAGAACACGAGCCGGGGGAGAATGTGGGAGGCACTGCTTGCAGACCAGAGAACCGCAGCAAGGCAGCTTTCGCGGGGAGAGGTGGGCAAGCTAGGGTTGGAAATGTAGAGGCCGGAGATGCAGCGCATGGGGGCTCCCCCCCTCCTCAAATCCAGCTCGTCTCGGACGACTCAAACTTGAGTGCGCTGGATCTTCTCGGCCGTGCGCCCCTGCGTCCCCAAGCCCACTTCCAGCGCTGGCGCGCAATGGTTGACCCCGGGGCAGCTCGTCTCGAGCTCCCAGGACTGATCGATGGAATCTTTCTGGCTGCAGTCTCCTTCTCAGCTTTTCTGAGCTCCTCGTGCTTTTACTCTGTCAATAAAAGTAGCTGCAGTTGGACGCCGGGTGGGTGGTCTGGAGGAAGCGCAGTGGGCACTACTGGTCGTCTGGACCAGGAGTTACCTGTTGAGAGTGAAGAGGACCAAAGGAAATAAGGACCTGGCACTATAAGGGGAGTATGCGTTTAACACTATTCCTTTGGAAATGCAGCTGAGCAGAAGCTTCTTTCAGAGTCTTTACTGTGGCTCTAGATTCCTCCTCCCCTCAGGCAATTCTCTCTGTAGTTAACTCGTCCTTCCTCTCATTCTCTTTATCTCTCTCTCTCCCAACATTCTTCAGAGGATCTGATGTACATTTTGGTTTCTCCTCTGGAGGCTTGGCGTAATAATTTGAAAAGATTTTCCTAGCCTTGGAAGGGGTGGTGGTGGCCCACTGCTTCTCTTTATTCCAAGAGAAAGTGGGGACACCTGGCAGCAGAGAATAAGGTTTCACGGCCCACCCAGGGGTGAAAGAACCAGGGGCCTGCACTACTGAGGGGTGTATGTTCTGATGGTGTTTAGTCTCACCTCTTTTCTCGTAGTACAGCTAGTGGGTAACAAGCCAGCAAAGTAATTTTAATATAAAACTGTGCTATATGTGGTATCTAACAGAATATCTGAAAGACAACCCTTCAGCTGTATATTACACAGCAGCACACTTCTGGAAGGTCACTTTGAAAAAGTTCCTGATTCATTGAGACTGTGTCAAATAATTTAGGTTTAGGTTTGGAAAACAGCTTAAACTTTGCAGGAAAATAAGTTAAATTTGTATATCTCCTTTTCCCCCATTTGTAAATCCTTTTCACTCTTTAGACTTCTTGGATTATCATCAGTTAATGTGTTGATAAATTAGAGGAGGAAAAGAGAAAGGTTATCACCCAATCCATTCCAATTTGCATACACTTGCAATGTTAAATGATATAGTTGCTAATGGCCCCAAAGTGAGAATTTACAAAATGAAATGTCCTGGACACAAAAGGAAATGAACATGAAGCATACCTTTTTTTCCAAGGTGCTAAAAGTTAGGAATCTGAAACACTGACTTTTCCATGATGATTCCTTAATTAAATATTATTTAATACATGATGTTAGAATTTTGAAGACAGGCATTGAGTTTGCTTTCAGTTGGATATTATGAAAAAGACAATAGTCCCATCAAGATTATGATCTGGGATTTATTTTTAAGAATTCCCATTTGTAACATATTTTATTTCACACCCACACACAGAACTCTTCCCTTCCATTGCATAATGTCCAGTTGCAGATGCAGTGAGTTAATCCCTTTGAACCAGAAAAGTTACAGATAACAGGGCAATTCTAATAATGATTATTCAAAAAAGGAGTTACTCTAGTTTTCTGTCCTCTGTTCCTCATTGCCAGCTTTGTTCTCTTTCTCTCTATATAATACCTTAGATCCTGAATATTTGAGCCATAAAGTATGGGGGATTTCAAGACTGTGGGAGGCTCCCTTTGAAAAGGACTCCAGAGATGGTGTTTCTAATCCGGGATACTTGAGCCGGATGGGATGAGATTGCAAAAGGGATGTAAAAAAGTAATTTGGTGAACAACTTTAGGGAAATAAACAAGAAGAAAGACATTTACTTTTCACCGTGTGTTGGTCAGACATATGTTAGTTTGGATGAGAACGGGAATGGCTGTGTAAATAAATAAACAAACCCAGTGAAAAACTTCAGTTATTGAAGCATCTTAGAAAAGGAAAGCTAGATGCAGTGGACAGGAGAAGTTTGTCAAGGAATAAAGAGGAAACATAAGGAAAACATTAAATAAACTGCGAGTGTATTCTTTCTCTCTTGACTCTATGCTTCAGAATAACTTTTTCCTGATCCATGTTACCGTACTATTAAATGTGTTGACTTGCTTTGGCTGCATCTTGGATTCCCTTAACTGTTTTAACAGTTTATGGAAAGCATGCCATAACCTACTTTGTGCAACATAGTCCCATTTATTTCTCAAGAAACCAAAACTCACTCAAGTACTTTAGCTGGCAGTGAATTCCAGGGTCCAAGCCTGAAAGCAAGTTAGAAAACATAGGCTCAGCTAGAGGTCATTACTTATTATTTTTCTCCAGAAAACACTGAAGTCCCATACAGTTTGGATAACTAGGAGGAGTTTAAGAGACTCAAACCAGGAAATAGAATAGTTTTGGACAGAGATAGGGAGTTAAACATATCCAGACTAGTTACTGCATCTTCTCATCTCTCCTCTGCCACCTCCCCGAGTCAGGCAGTGACAGCAGCAACAAGTTATTTTTATCCATTGCAGCAGTGGCATTTTAAGGAAAGAAAATGGTTGTCATATTGTTGCATCCATACTGCAAATATGTGGAAGGGGGCGTGCTCCAGAAAGAGAGAGCAAGTCCAATAGTTTGGAATGGGATATAACTAGTAGTGATGAGTGATGTTTGGCAAAGTTTGGGCTGACATCAGTCATTATACCACAATGCAAACATGCAGATTCTGAAAATGCTCAGCTCTCCAGTTGCTCAGTTCTGGAGGCAAATGGGTAAGTTAAGCAGAGTATTACTGGTGGGACCTGGGGAACTGATGCAGCTAGAAGTCATCCCTGATATACAAAGCAGACAACAGTATTTAAATGAGAGTGGTTGAAGGACAGCTACTCTTTTTGGAGAGAGCGGAAGGAGACAGAATTACTATAGCTATTTAAAATGTGATTAAATGATTATATAGTATTAGAAAAATGGCAGAATCAAGACCCATGATGATTACTTTCTCTCAAGAAGTAAGAATGTCCTAGATGAAGGTATAAGTTTATAAATTGTCGAGAATATAATTGTTGTTGTTGTTAAGTGCCGTCGAGTCGTTTTCGACCCATAGCGACCCTGAATAGGGTTTCCGAGGCTGTAAATCTTTACGGGAGCAGATCGCCTCATCTTTCTCCCGCGGAGCAGCTGGTAGTTTCGAACTGCTGACCTTCCGGTTCGCAGCCCGATTCGTAACCACTACGCTACCAGAGCATATGGTGTACTTATTTTAAACATGCATTATTTTCACCAAGTAATTAATTACTGGATATATTTTAAAAATGAATGCTCAATAATATTTAATATAGAAAATTTAACACCTCAGAACATTTTGTTTGACTACAGAACTTCCGTACAAAGATTTGATTGTGTGTTGCAGTTGAAAGGGCACTAGACTAGGAATCAGGGAATCAAAGTAAGTCCTTGCTTTGTATTTATATTATGTGTCAGATTTCTTCATCTGCAAAATGAGGGATTCAGTTGAATGATCCCTAAAATTCCTTGTAGCTCTGAAAATAATGGCAGTATCTCCAAAAAAGAAAGACAAAGTTGCAATTGCAAATGTCAAAGCTATTTCTAATTATGTGACATCACAGCTTTCACTTACGGAATTATGTTTAATTGAATAGGTCCTGGTTTACAAATATACTTTCAAAATTGTTGATTTTCTGGAAATGCCTAAGCCATTACAAGAATCCTAGTGTTCTATCAAAGAGAGATCCAAGACTCATTTAATCTGTTGATTCATCTTTAGACTATGAGATGACAAGGAACACCAGATTTTAAACTTTAGCCTCTGGGCAGATTCCTGGTAGAGCAAGCAAAAAGCCTTCTGATCCTCAAAGAGATACCACTCAGTCTTGGTTTGTTTTCAGGAACTACAGATGAGTAAGGGTTTCCTGGTGTGGTGCTGAGGGTTAATGCACTGGATTGCAAAGTCTGTTTGAACTGCAAGGTTGGCTGAAGCTCACCAGGTGCTCCTTGGAAACCCTATACAGGGTCTCTATGGGTCAGAACCAACTTGATGGCACTTAACAACAACAACAACAAGGGTTTCATTGAATGAAGACCTCTCTTTTAATTTAGAGTTATGCTTTTATTGTTTCTATATATGTCTTTGGTTTAGACTTTCTAGTTATGATTCTTTTGACCCATGAAACTCTTCAGAAGGTCAACGCTGAAGCTTAGGTGACTGGTTCTTGGGTTTAGGTTGAGACATCCTCTGATAGTAATGTCTCAACCTAAACCTAAGGACCACAGTCACCTAAGCTTCACTATTGACCTTCTGAAGAGTTTCATGGGTCAAAATAATGAGAGTGTCATAAGATGTAGAGTGCAAAGCCAGATGA